GCTTACTTCAAGTCTCCCTACTTAGGAATTACACATTCTCAATCCATCTCACCATTTCTGTTCCAGAATCCCACTTTTCTGCTGAAAACTGCAACCACACCGAAGAACAACAGACCACAACGTCAAATTACCAGTAAAAAAAAAAAAAGCTTTCCACTGAAGGGCTGGTTGAAAATGGGAACCTGAAAGAGGAATTTCAGCTTTATACAGTATATTACAATCAAAACATCTGCAAGGCAATTATTGGATATTTGCAGGGACCTAAATAAACATGAGCTAAGGTTTCAGACAGCTCTGATCTCACAATCGAGGAATGTCCTAAATTGGTGCCCTCCCTTCCTTCCAATCCTCGATCGTCATAACTAGTTAAGAGTTAAACAGGTCATTAAAAGACCTCAAAGCAGGCAAAAATGCACTGGGTTACACAAGTGGATATGCAGGCTCATTCCACTTACAAAGTACAGGGTATCAGATTAAAAGCACAGGACGGCTATTGCAGAACATGATGTGGTCAGAGTTGATGGACTGCGTCCCTTGAGCTTTCTCTTCCAGTGTTAATCACTGTAACAGAAAGCTAATTGAACTTTCACCATGGTTGTCCAAAGTAAACATTTTCTCAGTATTATTTTACAGTGATCCATTTAAAAAAATGCTCTCGCATATTTTTTCTTTCCCTTATGAGTACTTCACTCGCTGCTGCTGAGGACGGCCCCACATGTGGATGGCACCACTAAAAGACCATGAAGAGGGCTTTGGACTGCAATTACTACGAACAGTTTTGCACTCAAGTCTCCATCAGTGAACAGTTGACATTTCAACAAAATAGACTTCACTTCCGTTTACGCAATTGCATCTGATGACCATGTAGTACACAGTTACAGAAGGGATTTATTTATAATTGTACTATCCTGTGTCACCCATATAAGGATGGGTTCCCTTTGGAGTCCGGTTCCTCTCAAGGTTTCTTCCTCATATCGTCTCTGGGAGTTTTTCCTTGCCGCAGTCGCCTCTGGCTTGCTGATTAGGGATAAATTTATACATTTTTAGGTTTAAAATTTATATCCTAAATTCATATATTTCTGTAAGGTTGCTTTGTGTCAATGGCCACTGTTAAAAGTGCTGTACAAATAAAACTGAGTTGAAATGAACTGAATTATATTCAGAAATATGCATGCCCTTTTCAAAGCAAAGCAATTCCACTTTTGTGTGATAACCTGAAATTAAGGAAAGTGTTTTGCCGAAGTTTAATGAGAAGTGTTCCGATACAAACTCTCTAATTACACTGTCGTCTGCAGATAGCGTAATTACATATTTGAGATTCAAGCAAAAATGACGCGAACACAACAGCACAAAAATGATTTCACACAGTTCGATATGCTGGTTATCAGGCAATGAATAGTTTAGGCCAGTGCCAGTCCTAAATTGGATCAGTTTAAGATCTACAACAGGCAACTCTGTTCCTATATCAGACTCTGTGTTGTAGTTGTGTTTTTCAGCCTGGACCTGTAGGATCTAGACTCCGGAAACACAAGATAGTGTTCTGTACATCCTGCCCCAGCCAGGCCTATGGCAAAGCCTCGTTATCACCGTGCAGAATTACTGCCAGATTCCTCTGGGCTCCACACGCCCTCACGTTACAGCAAAAGAAAAGAGCAAAGAAGAGCGCAAGAGAGAGACAGAGACGGAGTAGGAGGGTTAAAAAAAGAGAGAAAATGGTGCAGTTGCGCATTCCAGAGGCTATTTCAATCGTCTGTCACCAGGTTCAATCTGTTCCTTATAAGGCAAGGGCATTCCCCTCATATTTTCCAAACACCACACTGTTATCAGATCCAGTTTCGTGACCAATTATTCTCTCACTCAAGAGCCTGCACTGGTACCTATATAGTACATCAGCATTTAAAAACAAGCCTGAATGATCGCGCTGGACAAAACAGCAAAATTGCTCCAAGATCAACTTCTGAAGTTTGCCATGATTCATATGGATGTTATCAAGATAGTACACTCAATTATCTTGTTGTGCCAAAAGGCAATTGGGTAATTCTGAACCATGATGGCATGTTATGGTGTTAGCAATAGTGTTAGTAAAATCCACAAGTTCCTTTACTGCACACTAATCAGCACAGAGAATTCGTTTAGCAAAGCAAACCAGTCTCCCATCCTCCAGCCCCGGCCTGTCCACAATCCCACAACAGAAAACAGATGAAACAATACAAGAATGTTCGTGACTGGCAACAGCACACCGCAAATATTTTGGGAAGAGAACAAGGAGGGCGAATCCAGCCAAATTATACAGCATAGATGATGCTACTGAAAGTCTCAGTAAGTGAAGACCATAGATCAAGGGTCCCAAAATCCAGTCCAGAAGCCAACTCAAGTCAAGTGGGTTTTTATTTTTGTTCCTCTGTATAACTTGTATATACTGGAATGAAATGCTGTTTCTTCAGGACTATGGTGCAACACATAACAATGCAGGAGCCCAGTACAGAGGACTGCATAAAGTGCAAATGTACAACCGGGTGAGAAGAGGGCAAAATATACAATAAATGCACAGGACAGCGCACTCTAACTAGACAGGACAACAGAATGGTATTTGATGGAAGAAGGTAGTGCAAACAAAACCGTGCAATTAAGTAGAAAAAAAGAGATGGAGAAAGGTGTAATAGCAAGATCAGTAGTAAAAAGTGTCTCATAGCAGCATTTTAAAGTGCTACGAGGTGCAGGGAAATTACACCGCCTACCTAGGCTGGACTCCAGCCCTCCACGCCTGGCCGAAATTAGGGACTCTTTGCACAGATTAAATAAATAAACTTCCCACGACTACACAATTGACCACAGCAAGAAAGAAAAGTTTGCTGAACATGAGGCTGTGCGTTCGGATAACATGTTGCACAGCTTAATTCTGAGTTCTAAATGAATTCCTACAGTGAGTCCTGCTGGAAGCAAATAAACACAATCGCTCAGTACTGCAGGAGAGCTTCAACACTACAGACGTTCACGTAAAGACCCACTTAAATTATTTATTCAGCACAAATATAATGGTTAATTGTGCACTGGGAATACTGCTAGGTATATAAATGGCTTCATAAAAAATGATAAAGGATAATCTCACTATCGAATGAGAAAGGTGTCATTAAAATCTGAGTTTAAAATGTACAATTCTGAACTTTTATGCATTTATTTGAAGTTTTAAGCAATGTTTGGAAGCTGAATTAGATCAAATTAAATATTATAATTTGAAATTCAATTTTATAATAATATAAATAGAGAATGAGGTTTTTGGTGGCACAAATTCAGTTCTTCAAATTCAGATTCAAATGTTCAAAACACTACATCTGGGGATTTAACAAAAGCCAATGAGCACAGACTCGATCGTCGGCATTTCAGCCAATGAGCCAATAATTTAGGGTTTTAAAAATGTGCATCTGAATTTGACTTATTTACTTTCAGTAAACGCTTTACCCTGCTCAGGGTCGCCGTGGATCCACCCGGGAACACCGGGCTTGATGTGGGAACACATCCTAGATATGATGCCAGTCCATCATTGGACACCACACACCTAGGGACAATTTAGTGTAGCCAGTTCACCTACCAGCATGTTTTTGGGAAGGTGGAGGAAACTGGAGAACCCAGAATTGAACCGCTGCACCACTGTACTGCCCTGAATCAGAATTTTAGGAACTGAATTTAAAATGTGGCAACAAAAATGTGATTTTAAGTTTATGCAACTGACTATTATTAAAATTTTTAAACCTTGCACATATATTAAAGAAATGAAACACCATATCAATTTGATTCAAAACCTTTACAATTCATAAACGCATAAAAGCATAAGAATTCAGATTAGTACATTTTAAATTCAGATCTCATTCCAAACTCATTCCATATTCTTCATCCCAGGCTTGATTTCTATATCTAATCTTAACACTTCTGCCAGGACAATAAACATGATGAACAGGTCTTTCTGCAAACAAAGCAGGACTACATCTGAGTACTTCAATAAGCTTCAACATAGATACCGAAAACAATATCACCAAATAAACAGAAAGGCTGACAGCATCCCATGCATCCCATGCATCGCAGCAAAGCGCAAAGCGCCGCGTTACGCACGCCTACAACGCGCGACGTGACGGATACGCACAGCAAAACTTAAGGAGGAACTTTTACCCCGTGCGCCAAAACTGTCAGCTCGGTTAAATAAGTGGCAACTTACTCCATGCTCCACAACTTACCTGCCACTGGGTGCAAACCTGGCTGAGCTTTAGCCTAGAAAACACAGAGTTTACGAGGTTTGCGCTCAGGCGCCTCAGTCCTCAGAAACCGACGGTCTGCTGTAAGAGATGCGCTTTCTCATTAAGCTCCTCCCTTTAAACATGTCCCAGCTACAGCCTCATACAGCGCTTACGACATGTCTGAAACAAGCCACGCCTACCAAGGAACTCGTAAGAATACGACCGACTTCTGATCGAAACGGCATACTCAGTCAACTGTACTACATACTACAAGTACTGCATTCTACACTGTTTCTCATAACAGTATGCACTTTGTGAGAATTGTCATCTGGAACACAGAGTCTCTTCTCTCGAGTCAACAGTATGCTCAGGTTTATGCCGAGTAGTTTCTGTAACCCCAAAATCAAAACATGTTGATAAAACCAAAAATGATGCGCTGAGGGCGCAGTAAAGTTTGTAAGGCAGACAAAAACACTTTAGGCATAATTTTGGAAAAGAAATGCATCTGCCATTACTATAACTAGAAGAAATCTTCTGTATCAAGTATTAAAGGAAAACTCCACCATGAAACATTACATTAGATACACTGTTCTTATTTGTTGTTCTTCTTCCGGCTGCACCCGTTAGGGGTCACCCCAGCGGATCATCGATCCACATATTTGAATTGCCACAGTTATTTTTTTTCCGCCGGATGCCCTTCCCTCCCCAATTTTATCCGGGCTTGGGACCGGCACTGGGAGTGCACTGTCTTGTGGCTGGGGTTGGGGTTGATTTCCAGGCTGGGAATCGAACCCAGGCAGCGGTGGTGACAGCGCTGAGGCCTAACCACTAGTCCTCCAAACATGACTATCATAACTGTATGTGCAGTGGGCAGTGGTAGCTTAGTGGTTAAGACTTTAGACTACTACTCAGAAGGTCATGTGTTCAATCCCTGACACTACCAAGCTCCCACGGCTGGGCCTTTGAGCAAAGGTTGTATAAATGAGGTAATTGTAAGTTGCTCTGGATAAGGGCATCTGCCATAAATGTGCTATCTGACCATCCCAGTCCAGTTTTTTTCCCCTTTTGCTGTTATAATAAGCTCCACTCTTCTGGGAAGGCTTTCCACTAGATTTCGGAGCATGGCTGTAGGGATTTGTGTTCATTCATCCACAAGAGCATTAGTGAGGTCAGGCACTGACGAGGAGGGTGATTGGGTGAGGAGGTCCGGGGTGCAGTTGGTGTTCCAGTTCATCCGAAAGGTGTTCAGTGGTGTTGAGGTCAGGGCTCTGTGCAGGACACTTGAGTTCTTCCACTCCAACCTTAACACATCATGTCTTCATGGAGCTCGCTTTGTGCACAGGGGCATCGTCATGCTGGAACAGGTTTGGGCCTCGTCGTTCCAGTGAAAGGAAACTCTAATGCTACACCATACAAAGGAAGCACATACAAAGTGTTTCCAACTTTGTAGCAGCTGTTTGGGGAAGAACCACTTATGGGTGTGATCGTCAGGCGTCCACTTTTGACCATGTCGTTTATTTGTGATGTGTTTAGACCCTGGTGCTAATTTGTTGGGCTGTATTTTTGTTATTCCTGGGGGAATTTAGAGGTTGTCTGCTGCGCTGACGTCATGGGGGAAATTGCTTGCATAGTTACAATGGCATGTAATAGGAAAAAAAAAATTCAAAGATTTCATACATAAGGGATAACAATTACATTTCACTGTTAGCTCCTAAAACAAAAGAACAAGCGCCTCTTTTCTCATTTACCATTTTCCAGCAACATTCAATATTATAGTAATGAGAAATCCAACATAGAAGTAGTGGAGACAGCAAAACTCAAAGGACTCAAAGTTCCAAAGGATTAAAGGATTTTAAAGTAAAAAAAATGGGTTTCATACTGATGCTTTGTCCCTATAGCAGATTGTTAATAGCAAACTATCTTATATGACTCAGAAGAACCGCATCGACAGTTCACATTTAAGTATTTAATATTTTTTACAGTATGAGTGAATTGCCATTGACAGACATGTCAACTGTTCGAACCCAACATATCTCAAAACGACATCATTTAAATACAAATGAAGTAAATCTGCCGACATTGTAATTAGGTAAAGCTTGTAAAAGGATTAATTTGACACACTTCTTAAAACGTTGCTTAAAATGAACAGAGTCACTTGTGAGTTACACATCACTATTTACGGAACTGTGGAGAGCAGTCCAAGTCTGCTCACTGACTTTAAAATATTGGCTCTTGTTGCCAAAATAAAGCACGCCAGGAGTTTTTTTCTGAACAATTAAAGGAACAATCTGTCAAGCTGGCATTAAGAAAAAAAAAAAAAAGTTCAAATACCAATACATGCAACGTTTTAAGAAATGTTGGAAGCAGCCAGACTGGCTTGCAGAATGCCTTTTTTGGTGATCCTTCATGAAACCTCATTCGAAAACTAAGCCACTGTCAGTGTACCTCATAGGCAACGTTCATCTTGGCAAAAGACAGGGTGGCGGTCTGTTTAAACACTTAAACATAGGCCTAATATATGCTGGGAAGTGAAAGAAACTCTACGCCTTCTCATAATGGATTTACAATTTGGACAAGGTGCCCAAACTACCCACCAACCTGTACCATTAAAGGCCCATGTGATACCCTTAGAAGGATATAATAATCCAGCATGAGATATCTTTCATGCTTGTACTAAGCCAGGCTTTTTGAAGCAACCCATCAGATTTAATACCCAGTTCCTCTGAAACCAAATGATATATAGGCAATGCTTATTTTGTGCAGTTCTTAGGCTATAATTCTGGTCTGCTACAGAATGGGTTGTCAGGATGTGAGATGCTTGATTCAACTAAAAATTAACAGCATGTTGTGCAGCAACAGCACCAACTTTAGGTTAGAGGAGTATTTGCTGAATGTTCCGGTTCTAGTAACCTTCTACTAAGTGGTTCTAGTAATGTGTTATGAGTAATTTTTATGTAACATATATAAACATTCCTACAATGACTACATTTACATGCACATCAGTATTCCGATATTAATCGGAATTTGGCAATATTCTAATTAGTATTGAATCATGTAAACTCTGCAATCTGATTGCCCGATTCAGATTAAGAATATTCTGATTCCCACCCCTGGAATATGTCTGTTTTAATCAGAAATTTGTTGCATGTAAACACCTTATTCAGAATATCCACTGAAAGGAGATACATGTGCATACTCAGTCCGCGAGGATTTGTGGATGCTAACAGCAGCTTAGCTTAACAGATGCGTACCAGACCCTTTCCATTTCGAGGTGGAGTTGTCAGGCATTTTTGATGGTGAGAAGCGTTAGAGCCCTAATTAAATTAGTGTGAAAAATTAGTAATAAATCTAATTGTGTCTAATCTAACTGAGCATACTCTATGATTAATGGCAGCATCTCGAATCTTCCAGGAAATAACAGCGGAAAAGGAAAAAGCACGTGTGTAGATCGGCATGCTTACAGCAACCATGTATACAGGAATATCCCGATGCCTGTACGCATATAAACATCGTATTCGGAATAGCAACCCGAATATAGACCTTAAACGGAATTTGATGTGCATGTAAATGTTGCAGGAATGCTAGCTTATAATGTCGAATGACCAAAAAACATTGTGTGAGCGACATTTTAAGAAAACTGTAAAAGACAGTATGAAAATATGAAGACAATATGGCACACTTTAGTAAAAATTGAATCACTCAATGCAGTTGTCAGTGCAGATGACAGAAGACAAAACTCTCTAGCATACAAAAGAAGCAAGTATGTGCATAAATGTTTGAGTGTTTATCATATGGACTCTTTCTCTCTCTTATTGTGTGTGATGGTGTGTGTGTGTGTGTGTATCTTGGCTGTATGAAAAAGAATGGAGGAACACCCAATATTCAAACTTTTGCAAATAGATCCAGCAAATAGCACCATGGGGAATAATAATTTGTTTGCTTTGTACATATGCTTTTGATGAAATAGGAGCAACAAAATAAATCTGCAGAAATTAAATTTAAAAAAAAAAATTGACATTTTCCCACAGAATAGAAACAGCCAGCAGTGAAATACCTTTCCACTTATCCATAATTTAGTAAATAACAAGATGCTGCCAGGTGTTTTATAGTCTCTTGATCTAAGAGATTAAATCTGGTCTATATTTACCTCAGTGACTTCACTTATTTATCTCAGCAGTAAGCTTATGTTTATAGAAACTCATTCTAGGTCTCATTTGGGTCCAGTGATCAATATGGATTTTTGGACATTTAGGCAATTAAGTAAGCATCAAAATAGTTTATGCGCTCAGAATGGCCCTGTAACGAAAAAGGCCTCTGTCTGTGTCTATGTCTGAGCTTGTTTAAAATAGACTGTTGGAGCTATGAACACTTCAAGCCCAGTGAAAAACAGGGAAGACTGCAGTGTGCCAACATCTTGTCTCTTACCCCATAGCACATGGCCTCATTTTATTTCTGGCCAGTCGAGATTTCACACGATAGTCATGAATGGCTTTGTGACAGTAGGTAATTTGAAACAATGTTGCCCTGTACATGCAAGTGCAGTTACATTCTCAGGATGGTTCAATTGCCTGCATTCATCAGCGTTTCTCGACAGGCCCGTGAGTTTTAGAAAACACAGTGGTCAATATCACCTGTCACATTCTCTGCTTGCCGGGAGTTTCACACAGCCTGAGGAGCACATAGTAACAGGTTGACTCTTGCTATTGGTCATAATGGATAAAGCTGATACTGAGTGCTGACTTTCCCTCAATCAGTCAGGAGAAAATAGAAAGTTGCTCTGACAATCAGGGTTGCCAGGTCTGGTTTATAAAACATTTACATTTACATTTATGGCATTTGGCAGACGCCCTTATCCAGAGCGACTTACAATAGTGCTTTGAAGTCTGAAAAATACATTCTGATATTGGCTCACTAGGTCAAAACTAGGAATACCATCAGTCCAAAACTCTGTTATTTTATTTTATTTTTATTTATTTTTATTTTTTTTGTGTGTGTAAGTGCTAACTTAAGTACTTTATGAAGAGGTAAGTCTTTAGACGTCGTTTGAAGACTGCCAGTGACTCAGCTGTTCGGACATCTAGGGGAAGTTCATTCCACCACCTTGGTGCCAGAACAGAGAAGAGTCTCGATGCATGTCTTCCTTGTACCCTGAGAGATGGTGGGACCAGTCGAGCAGTGCTAGAGGATCGGAGGGAGTGTGGTGCCACGCGACGTGTGATAAGTGCTTTGAGATAAGTGGGTGCTGGGCTGTGTTTGGCTTTGTAGGCGAGCATCAGTATTTTAAATCTACAGGAAGCCAGTGGAGGGAGCGCAGCAATGGGGTGGTGTGGGAAAGTTTAGGAAGGTTAAAAATCAATCGTGCAGCTGCATTTTGGATCAGTCGCAGAGGAAGAATGGCGCTCAGAGGCAGACCTGCCAGGAGTGAGTTGCAGTAGTCCAGTCTTGAAATGACAAGGGACTGAACAAGCACCTGTGTGGCCTGTGTGGAAAGAAATGGACGAATTCTTCTGATGTTGTAGAGGAGAAAGCGACATGACCGTGTCAGATTAGCAATGTGAGAGGAGAAGGACAGTTGATTGTCCATGGTTACCCCAAGGTTGCGTGCAGCAACCGAAGGCGAGATCAGAGAATTGTCTAGGGAGATTGCAAGATCCTGAGATGGGGATGAATCACCTGGAATGAACTGCAGTTCAGTTTTGGTGGGATTAAGTTTCAGATGATGAGCTGTCATCCATGATGAGATGTCTGCCAGACATGCTGATATCCGAGCAGAAACATGAGTGTCTGAGGAAGGGAAGGAGAGGATGAGTTGAGTGTCAATGTAGCAGAATTAAAACCATGTTGTCTCCCTAAACATTAAGGTCCTATATATTGTCATATACATTCATGCAATTTTCCAATCGGCCAATCACGTGGCAGCAGCACGATGCATAAACTCATGCA